TCCTGATAGGCGAGTAGGACATACAGGACATACAGGAGGAGTGGTATAGGGATGAGGGAGTTCTGGGGTACGTGGACATGGGTGTTGGGATGGAGCAGTCTGAGCTACTGCTGTTGGCCAGGGACATCGTCACACTCATTCGATTCCCACGGGGGGCCAGTATGAAAAATGTATGCACTCACTAACTGTAAGTCGCTCTGGATAAGAGCGTCTGCTAAATGACTAAAATGTAAATGTTGCTGTAAACTATAGGTAACATTTACATTTATTATTTTATATTTGTTATCTGTAAATAGTTCACTAAAGTTTTCTGCTTGTACTGGCTGCCTACTTGTTTTCTTTCTTGTTCTACACAAAATACCATCAAGACCTCCAGTGGTGTCAGGTTACATACTGACTGCTGCTGGTCCACTGTCCATCAATTCAACTTCGGCTTATAAGAGAATGGAGTTTGACGTTTAACATTGTAGCACTGAGGGAATAAAATAGGTGTGTATTGTATTATTATGCATAAAAACTTCAATTGACAATGCAACTAGCCCTCCTATACAGCAGATGGCAGTGTTGACATAACACAAACACGAGGCACGAGCCCATTGCTTAAAAACCACACAAGAAGAAGCCGAACGGCCATTGTTGTGTGGCGAAGAAGAAGAAGAAGCTGGTGCGGGCGGCCTGAAGAATTTACTGGAGGACATCAAAGCACTGCAGCTTTTTGGAAACCTTAATGTTGAAGGTAGGAGTACATTGTTGATTACAATAAACTACATCGTGTTCGTTAGTGACTAGATATAGCCAGCTAGCTAGTTACCGTTTATCTCCCGGCCCTAAGCTGACCTAGCTAGCCAACATGGCGTCCCTTCGCAGAACCATCTTTGGTCCCGTGTTACCATCTTCTTGGATAGTGGGCCATGATATGTAGCTAGTTAGGCCTACGCCCGCCGTCATTCATTCAGGCGCTGTAAAGTAGCTAGCTAACGTTAGTCAGTCGAGCTAGGCTTGTTAACGCGGAACTAGCTAGTTAACGTTACTATTTTAGCTAATGAGCTAGCGAAACCTGCTTTGGGTGCAGTGATTCGTTAAGTGTAGTTATTAACTACAGTAGCTAGCTAACGTTTACAAAGTTATCTGTCGTTATCCAACATTAGCCAGGGCATGACGACTAGCTTGCTGTAGCCTCCCGCCAACAGAGAACAAGAGTAATGGCGTCTTTTTGTAAGCGCTAACGGAGACTAACTCCGCCATGGCTCGTTGGTCAAAGCCTGTGTGGGTTTTGGATGGTTTTTGGATTAACACAGTCTTAACACATATATATTATACGTTTTATTCGATGATATAATCGTCATCAGTTAACGTTACTCTGTGGATATTGAAGGGCTGAGCGGCCCAGATATATCACGATATATTTCACATTTGATGGTATTTTATGTTTTTGAAAAAATGGTTATAATTTGCTTTTTGTTGTGCATGATCCTAGGGTGGCAACCAATGATTTATATATATATATATATATACACTAGATGACCGACGGGGAGCTGTTTTGAAGCCTCCGCACCTCCATCTTGGCACTCTCCCACGTTGCAAAAAATATTTTGGAAGCTTTAGAAATGAATTTACTAATGTCAATTTAAAAAATGCCACGTTTATTCGATTAGACACCTTAATGCATACTATTATATTATGTGAGCTACACATAAAATAAACATTTTCCTTCAAGTTAATTTTTTTGATAGTACTAATGTAACTGACCCCACTAAAACAACAAAAAATACTTACATACTTGTCCTTTTGTCATTGAAACATTTAAATAAAATACTGTGGAATTCCATTCATTCCCAGATGGAGGACAGCTTTTCTGAAGAGTGCCAATATGGCCGACCTGTGGCTTCAAAGCCTCTCCATGGTCAAAACAAAGCATCTGCAATCCAGGGTTTATACACGTCATTGGTATCAACACATACTGTACATTCAAAGTGATTTCAAGGGGGCTTTCTCCATTCTGATTGTTTATACTGTTCAATCAAACTTCAACCAAAAGTTGAGAATTTCCACACTGCCATATAGGGCTGCATGATATGGGCAAAAAGTCTAGGCCTTATTTTTAACCAAATATTGCATTGTGATTTGACTTGGGGTTCAGATCAGGTTACATACTGACTGCTGCTGGTCCACTGTCCATCAATTGAACCTCGGCTTATAAGATCGTCTCCTGAGTGGCGCAGTGGTCTAAGGCACTGCATCGCAGTGCTAGCTGTGCCACTAGAGATCCTGGTTCGAATCCAGGCTCTGTCGCAGCCGGCCGCGACCGGGAGACTCATGGGCGGCGCACAATTGGCCTAGCGTTGTCCAGGGTAGGGGAGGGAATGGCCGGCAGGGATGTAGCTCAGTTGATAGAGCATGGCGTTTGCAACGCCAGGGTTGTGGGTTCGATTCCCACGGGGGACCAGTTTGAAAAAAAAAAAATATATATACTAAAAAAAAATATATGTATTCACTAACTGTAAGTCGCTCTGGATAAGAGCGTCTGCTAAATGACTAAAATGTAAATGTAAATGTATAATGGAGTTTGACGTTTAACATTGTAGCACTGAGGGAATTCAGATCAGAAATAAAATAGGTGTTTATTGTATTATTAGATTAAAACACTTGGGTGAGCTGTTGGAATCATGGAAATAGAATGATTATTCTAATTTTTCACGTAATAGTGGGCACTTTGAATACAATGTTTGACCTGACGACAAATTAAAAACCCAGGGCGGTGTTGATAGAATTAGGAAAATAATACTAATAGAATCTCTATGGAGGTGTTATTGTGACAGGTAGGAACCAAAGTGTTGGTCAGTGTTTCCCAGGGGAGTGGGACACTAATCTTTGGCTACATTAAATGTTTTTTCTCTTACTTCATGTAGCTAACTTTCATGCTTCACCTATACCTCTCTGATTTAGAAGATACTGTTTCACAAACATGCTGATTTAGGCCTACACCTTCACTGTTATCAGGCTGTATTAGCTAGCTACGTTAGCATTAACGGCAAACACAATTTATTTTAGCCACAACTTTCTAAGAAAAGACAAACTAGCAGTTTGCAGTCAGTAAGATGCACAAACTAATAGTGTAATTATAGAACGCTTGTGGATTTATAATAAGAAGCAAAGTGGAAACAGCATCGTCATCAACATATTGATGCATCTGCTTCATTGACCGTGCTGACTAAAGAGTGAACATCGGCAAATGATCTCGTCAAGCAACGACTGCGCTCCTTGAGTGACGGGGCGAGACTTGGTGAGAGAGGAAGAGACGACTCAAGTAGCGTTGGCGGAGGAAACTATTTAAACGGAGTGGCTTATCGCATTTAACAAACCAAACATTGAAATACCGCTATAGAATGTAAAGTAAAAACCCCAACCAGTCTGTGCATCTATACCGGTGTAGATAGTAAAAAATACCTAGCCCTATTTTGAAGCTTTTATGTAATCAAAACGAGTACATAAAGACTTCATAATTCATAAAGGTCATGGTAACAGACTGATTATCTCAGAACAAAACATAGAAGATCTCCTAAGCCTGTTTTAACCTTATTTTTGGCGATTATCCCAAAACCCCATTCATTTCCCCCATAGGAATGGCTGAACGAACCAGAGGTAACTCATTTCTGGTTTTAAGAACTACAAACAGGTCGAGCTTTATTAGCTGCTTTTAGTCATGCTGGTGTATTTACACACTAACGTTGCTTGTAATTGGGCTGCAAAAAAACTGAGCAGTCCATGGGATGCCAGAGGTTAAATCAAATTCAATTTCAAATTGGTCCCCCACAAGTTATTCCTCCTTTGCACATATGAGGCACATGCAGGACTTTTATTTTGACATGAGGTAAGCAGAGTGGAAATGGGTCTACAACAGACCCATGTTTGGAGTCTGAACAATACGTTCCTTTACCTATTTTGTCTAAAATTCCCCCCCGCCAATTTCGGTGTAATAAACAGTAGCGGTAATGTAGAACCAGTAGATATAAAGAAGTAGGCCTACATGAAACCAATACAGGGAATTATTTGGCTGAAATACAAACCAGTTGTTCCGGAGGAATAAGAGTGCAGGTGTAACCTAGGGTTGCTAGGACTGAAAGATGCTAGGCAGAGCCCAATCATGACTTGCCAACACACACATTGCATTCAAAGGGTGTACAAGCCCTAGTTTCTGGCCCTTTTAACAATGCAAGAAAACACTACAGTAACCTTTCCTACCTGTGTCCCCCCCCCCCCAAATCTGGTGGAAAATCCCTCCAGTCTAGGCCTATGCTTTTAAATCCTTGTAGTGAATTTTGCTATTGTAGATACCATGGGCTAGCTATAACATAGACTGCTTAATCGAAAATTTCTAGATGGTGACATTCCATTGCTAAGAACAAAAAACGGACTAGAGACGGCCTTGTATCTGCCCTAACATTTCTGTAATGGAATTGACTGTTTTGATTTACAGCCTGCTGTTGTCATTGTATTTAAAATGGATGAATGTCTTACGTTTTTCAGTGGTGATACAGAACATATACTTAATTTTCCCAATAATCAGTCTGAAAGACTGGCAACTTCTTTGTCATCAAAGAAGATTAACCTCAAATACAATTAGGGTCAAACTTGACCCTTCATTTATTCAACAGTTTATATCAACAGAGCTTCTCAAAGTAACAGTTGTGATCATGAAAACCAAATGCAACAAAGAGTGCATTGAGTGACTGTCATGTCCTAATTTTGTTGAATTTCGTAGGAATTTGTTTTCTCTTCCTTAGAGTGCAACCTAGGCGTAACTATTTGGGGCTCTGCTGTGCTGAGACATTTGATCCATGGGATTTCTCTTCTCTTTTTCTTTACCACGCTGACATTTTTAGGACCTTGGATAACAACTTTCGAGCACACGCGCAAAAAAAAGGAAATTGAACAGTACACCAAAAAATATTCCGTCAAAGAAAAGAGCCGCTAAGGTTGGGATCTAGCCGAGTAGCGCCATGTCTCACAGAAGAAGCCGCAGTGGATCGCCGTCTGGCCCTGTTCGCTCATGCACCAACAGCCAAAATCCCCGCGATATGGAGAGGAGGATTTTTGTGGGGAATTTGCCGACGTCACTGATGGACAGGAAGGACATGGAGGATCTGTTCAGTCCCTACGGGAAGATTCATGGTTAGTACTTAGGCTACCTACTAGGAAGGAACACACATTTCATCCTCAATTTTTGAGCATCATTCGTCTTATTGAATTTAAGAAGTCATAATTTTTTAAAATTAGCTCTTATCTAGCCAAATTACGATTTGTATTGTTTTTGGTTACAATGCAGTAGCCTAGTATTAAACTTGCCCAAGATAAAGCTGTGATCAATTCAAATGTAGATTCAGCTTAAAGAATCACAACATTTTGGGGATAAAGTTTTGTAACCTTGAACCTAATTCTGAACATTGTACATTTTCTATTTCAATGCATAACTTAACTTTTTATAATCTCACTTAAACTACCCCTTTGCTTTAACTTTCATACTTCGAGGAGCAATTAAAAAAAAAAAAAAAAAAAATGGCCCTTTTTTCCTTATATGAAATCAAAACAACAAATGTTCCTTTTTCCAGCCTTGTCCATGTTCCAAGGGTACGGATTTGTGCAGTTTGAACGTGTTGAGGATGCAGAGGCTGCAAAGGCGGGACAAAATGGTCGCCCTTATAAAGGTTATAAAATAGGTAAGAGTTCACTGTATTAGATGTGACTGTCCAGCTAAGAGGAGCAATTTTGTCATGGCGTTCCTGTCACTGGAATGCAGAGAATACGCTGTACGATATTAGAAGGATTAACTCATCCCAGATCATTTGATAAGATCCGAGTGAAATCTTAAGGTTGGCGGCGAGGACCTGTCCTGTCATTGCTTGTGCAGTGTGACAAGTAATGTGTTCAAATTCCCTAAAAAAAAAATACTGCACTAGCCAATAGAAACGCATGGTGAGCGGATGACCTGGTCAGCTACGAAGACTTGTGCAGTAGAGGGAAACAACAAACACAGCTTTACCAAGTTTAAAAAATGTAATGACAGACTAGAACTATTCTGTTTGTCCAACACTGTCAATATTTGCTATAATAAGGGGTTTGCCCATCTCTTTGAAATCACATAGCATATATCAGTTTAATATTACAGTAATCTCGGTTAACCCAGAACTGATGTCTTGCGTAATTGGTCAGATGCTTGATTTTTAAGTTCTGGGTCCAAGAGATTTGGAACCGTAACGTTGAGCTCCACCCTCTCGTCGCAAGTTACGGGCAAATCTATGGGCCAAATGCCCCATCCCCTTCTGAAATTTGAAAGATGCTAACACCTGCAAAATCATGATTTGTCCAAGGCAGCAGAACTAATGCCTGCTCGATATCTCACGCATCCTGTTATGACAGATCTACGGTACCATTTTGTTTACGTAGTCTCTCCACGAGAGATTAAACATAGTTAAACTGTAGGCCTATGTTGTGCAGTGTGGGGTCTTCCACCACGCAGCATGTATACTCTTCTGAAAGTGTTATGTCAAGGTTTAATCGCTGTAATAACATTCAGTGGCTTATTTAGACATTAGGATTTTAAATTGCTCAATGTATTCCCGGCAGAAGCCCCAGACTACAATTTAGCAGCTTTGCTTAAGTTATAAAACTGTAGTTTTGTGATTAATTATGAATGTCTAGCAAGTGGGGCAATATATAAGTTAATTTATAATTTTTAGTCTGCTACACCCACTTGCGCCTTAGCCAATAACATTTTTGTTGTATACATTACGTTTGAACTCCGCATTTGCAATGACATTTAAACAAAATAAATGATTTAAAACTTGAAATTGTTACAATGTCTTTGAATACCGAAGGATACACTTAATTGTTTTGAACAGTTGGAAGAAATATTGCGAGTTTGAACAGACTTCAGACCGAACACACAGTGCTTCTTAAGAATGGAAGATTAATGTGTTTGCCTTTATGTGTCATCAGTGTAGTATTAATGTTCTCACTATAATGTTCTCACTGACATAACAGTTGATTTCCTTTTGAACGTTTCATCTCAACTTGATTTATTGTAGTAGCTGAGTCAAAGCATCCCAGATGATTCTCATTCTCAACTAAAATGGAAAGCATCCTCTTCTTCAAAAGCCCCATCAAACCTTTTCATGCAATATAACAAGGGAAGCCATGTAAAGACAACTTGGAACCTGGAACATTTCGACTTCTCGTCCAATTTGAATTTTTTTTGAGCAATCAATTTGGATTTTCATGCTTGGAAATCTGGAACTCAATTTATGGATCGGGAAAGTGAGCGCGGGGTTACATTTCATGGCACTTAACCTTTCGCTTCATTGAGTTAATATCTGTAATTGTCATGTTGAACGTTTTGATTGGTTTATTTTCAGCTATAAATATGGCAGCGGAGCGACAACGACAGAATAAAGCTCAATCCCGGCCGAGCCCTCCAAGAAGGTAAAGTAACGCTAAGGGGGTATGAAGAAGTACCAACGTTTCAGCTGCTCTGGTAAAATTATATTTTTCTCATGTCATTTGCCACGAAGCACATTGGCAAAAACAGCTCGTTAAGAGTTTCTCAGCGTTGTGTTCAGTTAGCGGCAACATATTTCATGAAATAAAACAAGATTCTGAATTTAGTTCTGTGTCTTTGTCTCCTAAAGATGTCTGTTTCGCAATTTCCCTGTTCTGATTAGCCCGTACTTCAAATTAACTAGACAAAGCCGTGAAAATGGTGTCCCGTTCATGTCAAAGGAAGTTGCTTAAAAGCTCTTCAGCATAAAATGCCACCGGTACGTGCGGCGCCATCTTGCTTCACCGGACCATTGAACAAATGCTACGCCTTGCCTCACCCTTGTGCTCGGCTGTGTTGTCAGCAGCATGGCAATAAAGTAAACATAAATATCGATTCCTGTTTGCGATGGGAAACAATCGGTCTCAATACTTTGACAGCCTGAATTATGGTTTGAGCACAAATATTTGCTTCTGCATAGTTAATCAATGTTCATAATTGGAAAACGGTTGACTGATACGCAATATCGACATCGACAATATCAAAATATTGCTTTGATCAGTAATATTCTGTTTTAGTACACGTCTTTCATCACTTCATTTCAATCTAGTTAGCCCGTTTTCGAAAACATTTGAAAGTCGTTGCCAGTTAACAAAATTCTGTATAGACAATAAAGAATATTTTAATGTGTGGTAATTTTTTGTCTCAAGTGTTTCCTGTTGTGTTTTGCGTAAGCTGATTTTCATTGCCGATTTGCTTGGTAGGAAGTCTTGAGATTGCTTGATACTCGAGTATTAATGCATTTCTAGAAATTATTTTAAACCTCCGAAAACAGGACATTTAATCAAACACATTTTTAATATGGAGCGTGTGTACGTTTACATGTGATATCACTTCTCAAATTCGAGCAAACCCGATGTCTGAATTTTAAAAAGGTTTTCATTGCGTTAAATATTACGTTGAACTCCCTGGAAGTTTTTACGAAGACTTATGTTAATGGTAAGGACAATTTCTCTGCTGTGACTTGGAATTGTTAGCATTTGAACGTCACCGCCCATCAGTTCATTGTGATAAATGTTAGTTGGTGTGTTTTTGCTGGAGTCATGGAATCACACTTGTGCCAATGTCAAGGGGAAGTGATGCGTTTTAATTCGTGGAGTCCTTGAGAAGAGCAGGTTCACCACTTTTTTTATTCTGTGCACATTCTAAATAGTTCACCAATTCCATTGATTCTAATGTTGACATTAAAACAAACCATTATGTTAAAGTAACCCAATCGTTACCTGCCACTTTTCACTAAGGCTTTGTTTGTTCTTCCAGGGATCCGTATGGAGGTTATGGAGAAGGCAGGGAGCCCCGTCCTCGCTCTCGCTCGCCTATGCACGGGCGCGACTCTCGTGCACATAGGGGTAGCCGAGAGCACTCGCGAGAGCCTGGCCGTGAGCCTCGGCACACTCACCCTCGTGACCATCACGAACCGCGAGACCCCAACTATGACCGCTACCGCACATCCGAGGGCAGGGAAAAGGATCTCAGAGGTGAACCTCGAGGTGAACCTCGCGGAGACCCCACATTCAGGTGACCACCGGTCTGGCAAAGGGCCATCCTGAAGGAACATTCTCTGCCCTGTTCCAAGCAACATTCATACGCAATTGTTAACCAACGATTGGTCACTTGTGTATTACAGAGAGGAGGGCTATGATCGATATTACCGTGGTGGCGCAGATGAGCACCACCGCAAGAAGGAGGACCCGTACAGGGATCCATGGAATGGCCGGCGAGAACCTGAAGGTAAAGGTAGTAATGCAATACTCTTAAACGCATATAAACTGCATCCGTTTTTGCTCATACTGAAAGTGCGCTATCTTGACAACTTGACTGCTGACATGCACACTTTTTTATGGTATTAAGAGATTTTGGCAATTCAGCCTATTTTCTACTTACCCTAGAGTCAGATGAACTGATGGATACCATTTTATCTTGTATTATTTTGTATCTGCATGCAGTTTGAAGAAAGTTGAATGTAGTTTCTGGAGTGATTGCTAACTAGCTAACAATCACTGGAAGTCTATGGGATCAGCTAGCTGATTGCGTTAATGCTAGCTGATTTCATCGACTTCCAGTGATTGTGCCAATGCTACTTAGCAATTGCTCCAGAAATACCTTCAACTTCCTTCAAACCGCATGCGGAGACATAAAAATCTATCCGTGACTGGGTAAGTAAACTGCTTTGCTGCCGAAGTCTCAAGCTTTCCTTTTTAACAGCAGACAATTGAACAAAATACTAATAGAGACTTTCTTATTGAACTATCCCCTTTAACCTGTACACAAATTGAACTGTCAGTGGTAAAAGAAGCTAAAGACTCGTCTTTTTCAGATGACCGCGTGCGGGTAGAGGAGAGACGGCGGAACGAGCTCTACCGCCAATACTACGAGGAGGTCCAGAGACAGTATGACAGGGAGCGTCCAGTTGACTGCTCAGTCATTGTCGTCAACAAGGCACAAAAGTAAGTCCATGATTTTAAATCCTCCACATTACCACTCGGATTAAGTGTGAATTGAGTCTGTGTATTTGATTGGAGATTATGCATACAGCAGGGGTGGCCACAGATGGCCCACGGGCCAATTTAATGTGGCCCGCCAAGGTTGTCTTTGTAAAAAATCTAGTCAATTTCTGAAACCAGCCCCCTTGACAAATGAGTTGTGTACCTTTGGCATGCAGCCTAATTCTCACACAAGACATTCCATAGTAATAATCTTATCAAATGATTGTAGCCATCTTATTGTAAACATGAGTGGATAAGCTACCTGGGCATGTGGCGTGTTTCCTGTGGTATCCACTTTGCCTGCTTTGTCCTTGCAGTAGGGAGTATGCGGAGACGGTGGGGCGGAAGGTGCGTGACCTGGGTATGGTGGTGGACCTCATCTTCCTCAACACGGAGGTGTCCCTGACCCAGGCGCTGGAGGACGTGGGCCGGGCGCGCACCCCTTTCGCCATAATCATCACTCAGCAGCACCAGGTGCACCGCTCCTGCACCGTCAACATCCTCTTCGGCACACCCCAAGGTAGGACCACTGGCTTCTGCTGCCAGGACTGACTGGGATGAGTCCAGCTTCTTAATCCTGGTTCGGGGGGAATGACGGGTGGACATTTTTGTTCAGTGCTCAACTTGAGCTTTAAAGGGATGTAATATTTGTTTAAGATTATTCTTTGAGACTTGGTCAAATTCGTATCTACCTGAATTCCTAGCGTTGAGGCAGTAATTAATTTAAATCCAAAACCCAGGGTTGTTTTTCTAACGTGTCGTAGGTAAATGTTTTATTGTTGCTGCTTTGCACTTGCTCTTAGCTGTAGTCACAGCCCTGCCATTTCTTAGGCCGACATCTTAAATCACTAACTTATTTTCTTCGCCCCTTTTTTAAAAACTCGTAGAACATCGCAACATGCCCATGGAGGACGCCATGGTCCTGGTGGGCCACAACTATGACTCCTTCAAGGTGGAACATCGCGAGAAGGAGCGTGAGGAGATCGCTCAGAAGGCTGCCAAGATGGCTGATGACGTGCTGATGAGGGAGCATGAGAGGGAGGGTCACCCAGTCACCCTGCTTCCTGCCATCACTCTGCTGTCTGAGGGCAGGTCAGTCAGTCTGCTTACGCACTCTCCTTATTTCAATACTGTGTATATTTTACTGTCTTAACAGCCGCTCTCTCTCTCTCCATTTCACTTTTATCGGTCTAAATTTCTCCCACTTGTTTCCCTTCATCTCTCTCTCTCGTAGACGATGTCACTGTGCTGCTGTTGCAAATAATGATGCTCTTTACATAAATTCCCACCCAAACCGGGATGAGGAATGGTGCAGCTGGGATTGTCCCATTGCGTTTTAATTGTCATAGTGGGCTTTGAAGCTGTTCATGTGTCTGACGTGAAGTGCGCCTTCTGTCTTTGACGTCCTAGGTTCTTGACTCCAGAGGAGCTGGACAGTCTTATAGAGTATTTGAGGGTCAAGAGGGAACGCATCGTAAGAGCCGACCCACTTGCGGGTAAGGCTTTCTCAATTTTGCCCTCAAATTGGGTTCAAAAGAGGTCCCCTAAGCCAGTGCTGGGGTTTGCTCCATTTACAGTAGTCTGTTCTATTCTTGAACTTGAATTGAACTCATAACAGCAGAACACTGACTGTTTTCTTCCTCTGCAGCAGCACATCCTCCTGCGACGGCTGCCACCCACGAGCCTCCTCTCCAGGCCCAGACGATGCCCTCTGCAGCCCATTCCAGTCACGGCGCTCATCCTGCCCACGCACTACCCCCCCACAGTGCTCACTCGACCCACATGAGCATGCCGCCGGCCCCCAACGCCACCACCAACAACCAGCAGGAGCTGCAGGCTAAGATCCTTAGCCTGTTCAACAGCGGTGCGGGGGCATCGGCCTCCGCGGCCATCCCTGCCATGGCCCCCCAGTCCTACGGCTCCACCATGGGCAGCCAGTCCACAGGCCTCCCCATGTCCTCAGCCTCTCCTGTCCCTAAAATGGCCCCCACACCTTCCCAAGTTCCCAACATGATGGGTGCCCGGCCCCCCATGCGCCCGGGCCCAGTGCCCCCCGGCGCCCACCTAGGCTATGGGTCGCCCACAGGCCGCATGGCTGCCCCTCAGGGGGGGCAGAGACCCCCTGTCTCAGGGGGAGCAGGCATCAACTTCGACAACCCCAGCGTCCAGAAGGCCCTGGACACGCTCATTCAAAGCGGACCCTCTCTCAACCACCTGGTAAATGCTGGGAATTCTGCATCCCCCAGACCAAGCCATGGCATGGGCCAGGGCATGGGCCAAGGCATGGGTCAGCCTCCGCCCATGGCAATGTACCCTCGCCATTACTGATGATTCCCCTCATAATGTGACCACACACCCCCGAGTCTGCAAAGCAGCTTTTGTTAAATTAATAATTTACCACAGTTGAAATGTGTAGATGTAGACTGATATTTTCTGTTTCTTTTTTTTTGCATTTGTAAATGCTTTTAGAGGACCTTTTTTACCCTAGGTATTGTAATGACAGACCTCGGTTATTTGTTAAGACTATTTGAAAGTCCAACATTTTCGGTTGTAACCAGTCTCTCCATTTTCTGGTTAGTGTGTGAATTGTTGTAAAAAGTTAATTGCATGTCCGAAGATATTCAGGATTGTGCTGAAACTTGTTGTTCTCGGCTCAACCACAATGTTTGATGGCTAGATCTGGTGTCGGTGTGGGCCAGTTCTACACAGCAAAACTTTTATACAACTTCCTGTGTGATTGTACTAGCAGTGCTCCTGAAATAAACAATTTTTGAATGTGACATTGTATGGTTATTTGCGTACTCCTTGAGTAGTTTCAAACATCAAGGCCGGGATTCAATCAGATTGCGTGTTGTAGGCTGTGGCTTTTAAAGGCAATTTCCGATTGAGCTGACAGAGTGAATGGGATCTCCGTGAATGGGGAACGTTCCCTTTTTATAACCCGAGAACGTATTGAAACCCGGCCCAAGATCATTATTCCAATGACGACTCGCAATCAGAAACCCGGCCCAAGATGATTATTCCAATGATGACTCGCAATCAGAAACCCGGCCCAAGATCATTATTCCAATGACGACTCGCAATCAGAAACCCGGCCCAAGATCATTATTCCAATGACGACTCGCAAGCAAAGCTGTAATAAAATGGTATTGGTTTATTGCATTTTGTGCTGACAAATCTATAAAATGGAACAGGTATCGCCAGAAGCTATAGATGTAAGCATTTGAAATGTAAGATAAAACTACTTTTTTTTTTTCCCCGTCTTAATATACCATGAAACACAATAGAGAATACATTTATTTAAAATATTTAACACTGACACAAAATATACACTGACACTAACTGTTTTGGATTCATGTACAGATGACCCCCCCCCCCCCCCAGTGTTTACAAGTGCACATATTTACACACACACACACACGTGAAAACACAGGAACATTACTACTCTACCAGAATACTTGTACAGTACCAAGGAAGAGGACTAAAAGGTTTTGAAGGAAAAACATGTTCACTTTGTGATTTAAGAGTTGTGTGTGTATATATCCTTTATCTACATCCATTCCTTTTCCAAACATTCATACAAAAATGTATGCACAACAAACCCAAAATGTCTTTAATGCTTATTTTTATGTTGATCTGAGTTGGTGGAATTGTTCTGTTTTGTAATTGGTTTCAAAGGGACTTCTATAAAACAGGAACATTCATGCTAAAGATTGACACCCTAACCATAGCAGAAGCTTATGGGTCAGACTTGTGTACTGTGAACTAGACCATTAAAAGAACATGGAGAAGGCTGCTCATTGGATGTTTGTAGTATTTGGATAAATACATGATCATTGTCTTTACATTTTTGGTTGACAATCTCAAAATATCTGTTTTTGAAATAATTGTGTATTTCTATATTAGGGGGGGGAGGGGGGGGGTATAGCTGCCAATTTCTGAAACACCACAGGAGCCCTCAGTGTGTGGAATCAAGGCAAAAATATGATTTGTCATCTAAATAATTGTGATTTTGCATTTAATTCATTAGTGTGGTATATAACAATTTCACACAAAAACATTTTGTTAAATGGATTACCAAAGTATATTTCAGTTATCTGCAGATATAGATTATATATGAAACAATTTATATAATACGTGGAGAGACCTCTTCGACAAAGTGAATAAAAATAGAATCCTGTAACTGATATATTAATTTATCCTAGATGCACTGATTGACCAGTTTAAAGAAAATATACCAAACAATCGTGATTCATTCAGTCTAAAGAAAGGGGTAGATCTAACTAAAACAATATGAACAGAACACAGTATACCACAAACACTTCAATATATTCAGTAATACACCTTGTTCAGGATAATGTGCATGCATTGAGTTACACAACAGACCTGGAGTGGGGCTCTGCTTGCACAGCATGGACACTATCATCACCAATTTCAATTGTATAAACACGTTTGGTTCAGGATAAGTAGCTGACAGACTTGAGGTTGTGGCGCAGATCTCAGTTCAGTCTTGTCGACTAAAACCACAGTTATGGCGAGCCACTACACTCCAACACCCCAATTTGTGGTTTCTTTGTTTCGTCGTTTTTTTTTTTGTGTCCGAGTGTCCCCTCGAAAGGACAACCTTTTTAACACAGGAGCAGATATGTTTCGGAGCCCTTAATATCCATTTGATGATGGAGAATAATTCACAATGATCACCAACCGATTCGTCTCATGCTACAATTGTGCAGGCAAACGGTCAGATTTAGGAGTGTTTCGTGTATCTACACCTAGATGAGATAGTTATATCAGTGTTGGTGCTTCCGAGTTACCCTTAAGCCGTCCAAGCAGAGCCAGTACCAGAAGTGGAAGCGCTTGTTTTCTATTCTTTGATTCAATATTCAGAATTATACTGCAATCACATACGTATAAGTACAGGGTTGGGGGGAGGCTCAACCACACAGATTTAGTGACACAGATTTAAATCGAACATCTACTGTGATTCTTTCAAGATGTTTTTCTAATATATATATATTTTTTACTGCATGCCAGAACTGTCCTCGCATATACTTAACGTCATAGGACGAAAATAAAATTAACATGTAGTATATATTTGCAGTGAAAAACTGCAGAGTAATGGCGAAATCTGATCAATGGAACCCATCTCTCACAGATGTACGCCAACTGGCTGCAGTACTCACTTATACCACAGGAGGAAGCTATGAATCAGTGCTTAAACTGGGCAAGTTTGTTTCTTTTAACCACTGATTAGGTCCTCAAACTTTCAATCACAATAAATGTTTTTCTGTCGCAGCCACCACAGAGGAGATGAACACAAGATAACTTTATGGTCCATAAGACCTGGTTCTAAACATTCTGATGAGCAGAACGCCAACTTGTCAGTTGTTAATGTGTTCTAATGAAAAGCGATTATCCAAGTAAAAACAATATTGCACATCATTTTACAAAACGCTAAGACTTTGTCCACAGTGATAAAACAGTGTACAACAAAGGACAACATCGTAGGCTACAGTGTCTTTGACTGCAGCGTTATATACAAAGCAAAAGGAACATCTCTAAGGCCCATCCATTCAACTAATAAGGTCTCCTATTACGTTAACCAACATTAATTTAGCAAGATTGAAATATGACAAGTAACAATATTGTGAACTCAAACTTTTTTGCAAAATACTTGTTTTCAATGTTTAACTAGCTATGTAACCATGAGGAAATCATGAGGAAATCACATAAGACAATTCAAACAAACTAATTTCCCATGAATCCTTTTTTAACCAACATCTAAAATATTTTCTTTATAGATAGAATTGAAGAGTTTATTTCCATTACGCTACATCCACCAATTTTTCACATTTGTGTTTTTTTTATCAGAAATTATTTCTTATGGGTACCTTCATGTGTGTGGGAGATATTATTGTTCTCAGATTTGTAATTCATAGATTTTACATGTGTATGAAAATGTGTTTATTTTTGCCAAATGCAATACAGTATAACCATTGTTTAGCTGGAATGGAATGTTTATATCCTGTATATTTGACTGTGATATGTGGTTGTCTCACCTAGTGTCTATTAATCAAATTGTGTAATAATAGGAGAAAATCATACATCATATTAAGGGAATGTATTGTCCATTTGTAAAAAAAAATATATGTGAATATAAGAGGATGGGATAATCAAGAGTGCCATTCCATTTGTGAAAAGAGGGGGAAAATACAGGGGGGGGGGGGACTTCCCCCGGACCCCCCTATCAAATTGCACCCTAATGGTCTAATTATTGCCTCAAAATATTGTATAATATCATCAGGAGAGTTCTCCTCCAAAGCGGACAATGACTCCTGTCCAGAAAGACTCTCAGGCCAATAGTTAATATGTAAAGTCGGGTCATGTCTGGGAGGAGACAAACCACCAGCACTGATATGTATTTCTATATATGCTTACCCTTTTTCTGATATATTTTGTATATATGTTCCTTTAGACATGTTTATTTACAATTCAAATAAATCTAATAATATTATCAGCATTCACAACATATGAGTCTGACTTTCAAACGACACTTTAAACATAAATACTGGGTTCAATATCTCTATAAACTAGTTTCGTCAATTGTTTTATTCCCTCTATTGTATATATGTATATATATTTATATTCATAGTTCTAATACAAGTGCAAGTGACCAAAAACAGTGTCTTTCACAACACAAAATGAAAACATGATGATAGCTGTCCTTGGTCAGTGTGAGATGATATTAATACATCTACATAAAATAGGAGTAAAAAAATAACATGAATATGTAAGACCAAATTTCAGCTATTGCACATTCCTTTCAAAATGCACTTTATACGTTTTTATTCTAATTAGCTAATAATCCATTCATTGTCAGGGCCATAAGTATTGGCTCACATCGGTGCCAATTCTGTGGATACAAAATCACATATTTGGATTCTACTGCATAGAGTTCAGTGTTATGGATGGGGTGAGTTTCATAGCTGTGGAACCCTTTTTCCATTCCATCACTTTACATCTATTACTAGTCAATTGCACGCTAACCCATCAACCTAATGTACAATTTGTACTCTGTAATTTAATCAATATTTCACTTTCATAGATCTATTTTTCATTTTAAAATACTTTTTATATGGCACATGTAAACATATCTAAATTTGGCAAAACAACAGAATATATTTCTGAGCGATAATTTAAATGATATCTGTATTATATAAATATGTTTAACTTTTGTCTATAAACATAAACAACATTTTGTTTTCTAGATGGAAAAATAACATGTTCATTTAATGAACCTGTGAATTTTTTTAAGCACTTGTTGAACAGTGGTGGACAGTGCAGTGCAGTACTCGTCAAGGATACAGCGAAAGTTACCATAGTGATAGGAGCCTAAGCCATCCAAAAGCAGTTTTGAGCCGACCCTTTGAGAGAAGGAACATTTTCTCCACTAGAAGCTTTTTAGTAAGTCACAAAAATACTACACTCATACTTAACAATACGTCAGAGCTTGTACACTATTTACAGTGATCCACACTGGGATCAGGTGTCTGACAAAGATGATGTCACTGCTTATAATCACTCCCTTGCTCTTTTTCAATGGTCTTTCCTCAATTCCTTCTCTGTCCAAGGAGGCGAGGAAACACAAGGAATCGAGGAAAGAGGACAGCAGGAATTGAGGAAAGACAATTGAGAAAGAGCCCCTGCTCTTCTGTCAGCGACCTTTCCACTAAGAACGCTCCTCACAGTTCAACGACGTGTCAAATATCTAAAACCAAGCTTGCCTTGTTGTTTTTGGCACTAACAGTGGCTGGAGCTAAAAAGGACACATAGCCACTTAGAAAGGGGAAAAGGGACAAGTATAAATATGATGACAGTGCGTGAGCAAAAACAAATATGTTGCGGAGTGCTCAAGGTGAGGTCAAAGTTCATCGAGCGCGATCTATGTCGTCACGGAAGGCTTGTTTGTTTCTCTCCCATCTTCCTCCAACCGTGGTTCTTTCCTTCACGACTGACCCGGATTCAAATAATGACCATGTTCTCTTCTAACCACCGACCATGACCGTGGGTAGCAGTTTTTCTCGACGGTGGTCATCTCCGCACGTGATGAACAGGGTTTGCCGCAGAAGCTTTTCAATATTCTCTCTTCGCCGTGGTTTCGCAGGGTGATATACACGACTAGCTACACAACGTCAACATCCTCAATCCTCCACTGTTCAGTCTTGGAAGTTTACTCCATGTTGACAGGTAGGTGACTCCAAATCGATGGCACTCTAAAACATCCCCTCGTAAAAACAAACCACAATCGGATGAATGTGACACATAAACACACAGGCACAAACATCACACTGAACAACCCCAGCTCACCTAACCGTCTGTATCCTTTGACTCCATAGCCGAGTGACTAGTGGATTGACCAAAAGGCAGATATGAATAACACAAAGGGGGTGGAGCTGGGCAGTGATGTCTAGCTGCAAAATATTCAGCAGAAGGTGCAATCTCACGCTATTTCATTTCACAGTATTGACTGATAATCTTGCTGGCTGAATTGGAAGTGGACTGAACCTTTCCTTTATAAGTTATTTGGGCCACGAAGAGGGGGAGGACAAGTCTCTGAGAATCTGTTATATTGGATATGAGGCTAAAAGCAGCTACCTCTGACATCATATAGGGCCAGAAAAAGCCTGGAAGAGTAAGGTGTAGCTCTAAATCCAGTGAGCACAACCCAAAATACGTATTTTCAGCATCTTTTTGACCCAAAAGACGTATTTTCAGCGTTTCTTAAACCAAAAATACGTATTTTCAGCTTTTCTTCTGCCCAAAATACGTCTTTTCAACTTCTTGTGCTCATAGGGAAGTGTATGGGGCGAACTTATTTAAACCGTGTGTGTGTTAGGCAAACAGAAGATAACTTAAGAGAGAGGCGAGGTGAGCTGGTCTATTGCTTGGGTGTGAGGGGAGTGTCTTAGAAAAACAAATGGAAGGGGGGTGTTCTTTCTAGATGTGGAGTTTGAGAGATGTGGGGTTCGGGAGATGAAGGGGTTCGGGGGGGGGGGGGTCTGCTCTCTCAAGAGTAGATTGTGATGACCTCACGACCGCCACCGCGAACCAGGAGGACCCTGTTGAGACCCTCCGTCAGGACCTCCAGGAACTCCATGTCTGAGAGAGAGTTGTTAAGGAAAACAACTAACAGGTGCACCTCTAGCACCATACTATCTTTTACTAGTAGACAGATACTTACTTGTAATGGCATGTGACACAGCTTCTGTGGGCACATCGGCTGTGTGAAAATGATGCAACGCAGTGGTTCCCAACCAGGGGTACTAGGACCCCTAGGGGTACTTGGCCTATCCACAGGGGGCACTTGAGAAGACTCATGAAACCATAGGCCTACTGGTAAAATGCACGAGGGGTACTTCAGGGGTACTCCGGGCAGAGCAAAATTCAGTTGGTGGTACAGTAACCGAAAAAGGTTGGGAACCACTGACGTAACACGTTCTCTATTCTGTAAACATACCATGGGAGTGTTAACTTCATTAAAGTGATGGTCATTTGGTGTGAAAGCAACGTTTAGTTATTACCCCATACAGTGTAAAATTGGACGTCAAGTCCAACTTCAGACACTAACAACAAATACGATTTTGTCCATTCACCCAAACCCCTTACCTAAACCCTAACATGAGAACAAACAGCTTGTATGCCTGTGATAATACATTTTTGTCTGTTCTAAGACGACCACTGCTGGAAAGAGAGACAGAGAGAGAGAGAGAGAGAGAGAGAGAGAGAGAGAGAGAGAGAGAGAGAGAGAGATGGAGAAAGAAGGATACAGTTCTCGTCGCCAGAACGGTTTTTGGGCGGCCCGGGCATGTTGAGGAGCACCAGCTTGGCCTCTGAGGATTTCTTCACGATGACACCATTCAGCCTCAGTGCCGTGTGCATGCGCCTCACATTGGACTGGTTTCTGGTGGGAAAAAAACAAGATGGTCTCTACTAAGCTCCAAACCAAAGGTTGATTTGTTCATAATGCAGTATTATTTTTAGGCGTTCAGCAAAACAAACTGTGGAACAGCAACCTCTTCAGGCTACTAATTCACAAACAGCTAAAACAAATGGTCACTCTTTCACTCATTCATTCTATCACTTATGCATTCACCTTTTCATTCAGAACACTCAAGACATAATCAACTTGTGCTATGCTGAGTTGATCCATGAAATTCTAGAGGAAATGTATAGGTATATGTACCAGACCACAGTTTTATGTAAAGTTTGCGCTACGGAAATACTTACAGGTTTTCCCACTCCCTGCAGCATGGCAAGGAGAGAAACACAAGATTAAAGGAGAGAATCCAAAACGCACAGCTTTTCTGTACTGACAGTGCTCTATCGTGAAAACTTGACTGTTGACATGCACACTAAAAGTTGTTTTGAGTGAACTATCACTTTAAGATGTTGAATTTAAACTGCTGCCATTTTGACACCAAATGTCCCAAGATGAGAAGAATGCCAATCAGAATGTTACTCTTCAGGAACTTTCAGTTCCAACATGGGAGTATACCAGTTTTGCCAAACCACACTCACGGCTTCATGTTGAAGATGTCTTTGATGCCCTCCGGCGTGGAGGTGCCAGGAGGCTTGGCCGGCTCGCCGTCAGCCTTTTCTGTCCAGGTCATCTGGACCTGTGCAGACCCTGGGGTCTGGGCCCCCCCCTCGGTGGCTGGAGACAGGGGGGTGGCGGGACTGGTCGGGGTGGTGCTGTCGTGGATGAGCTGGACCTGAGTGGGAGGGGACACAGCGACAGAGGCAGACTGAGACCACGAGACAGGGGGGGAGAGACGAGGTGAGATGAGGCGAGTTGGAACCACAGAGTGAGTGTGAGGGTCAGAGGAGGGAGAGAGAGAGAGCCATTATCAAGAAGGCCTTGCATTTGGAGGTCAGTCATACAGTTGGGCTGATTAAAAAGTATGTCTGGAAAGGAATGTTTGAACCAACACATCTGTAGCCTACTCACCTTACTATGACTTTTAATGGAAGGCCAGAAACTCACAGGCAGACAATACTTTTTCTGTCTTTTTCCCTAATGTTACACATACGAACAACACAGGCCTACGATGCATTTCCTGGTATCCCATGAAACACTGTGACTAGTCGAGAGCCTGTGTGAGTCTTGCCTGTGCAAAATAAATTGTTCCTCAGACTTATCCAGTCACTTCACAATAAGTCTGGTACTTTCTTGCAAGTGGTTGACCTCCCAGGTCAACACCATCAGTTCACAACCCCAGACCTTTAACCATTCCCTGAATGCCTCACAGCAAAAAATTTAATTAAAAAACATTTAAAAAACACTGGTAGAGTGAGTTGGAAGTTTAAAAATCCACTACTTCAGGGTCGCTGACCTCAATGTCAACACCAGCGGTTCACAACCCCAGCCCCTTAGCCATTCCTAGACCATGCCTGACTGCATTTTTCCTCATAGCATAAAAAATTAAGGAAGTCTGAAAAACAACTACACCACGGTCAAAACCACTGACGACCTAATATTTCAACACCTCACATAACAACCACTCACAAGTCAACTGACTGCTCTGCTCTCCAAGTCTTTGCTGGCGCAGGCACTGGCCTCGTAGCAGGAATTCTTAATTATACAGTATACGCTGGTTAGAGTGAATGTGGCTCGGTTGACCGGACAGTATCAGTACCAACCTCTTCCTCGGGTTTCTCCACCTTGCTGCTCGCCCCGGGCTGTTCTTCGGTCACACTCAGTTGGGTGGTCACCACCGCCGGGTTCTTACGCCGGATGGATCCGCGGGATGAGTCTGTGATGCTCTGGATCTGCGAAAGGAAGACAAAGGGCTGAATGAAGCAGCTAGTATCCTTTTCACAATACTGAGCCAAACTGAGCCAAGCTGTACTGAGCTGGCCTGGTTACGCATCCATCGTAGTTGCTGGAACCATGCTGGAGAGGACAATGAGAGTTGGGTTTGGGTCGGCCCTACTGTGTGAATCAGGCATAGGAGTGCTAATATCATCACAATATGATTGATACGTTGTTTTGTATCGTCTGCATGGAGACAAAACAAGGTTATGAACGTTGACGTTTTCAAAACACTGTCTGTCAATGTAGACAATTCAATCACTTTCGGGTGAAGCAATACTGTTTGATGTGTTCCCTTTCGTTCTTATGTCTTAGTTGTAATTAAAGTCATAGTTAGTTAGTGGAACTACGTCACTGCCTACGTCACTGCCTTGTCCGTTTGTTGCCCACATCTCCAGGACACAAACTAGCAGCTAGCAAGATGGAGATCAGAGGTTATCTTTAATGGCTAGTTTTCTTCAACTACCTTCACTAAAACCACTGCAGGTTTTGCCTGAAAACTTTGGTTTTGAATTGCGACGTTCTGGCATGTCTGCCTCGTGATATGTTAGGATTTTTTTTATTTTTTTATCCCAGACCTTAGTCACTGCTGTTGGGTCTGGGATTCTAATTCAGACATGGCATTGTGTTGTGGAGTAAGATGGAGTAGCGGTGTGGTAAATGTAAAACCATAGAACTAGAATTATGGCCTTTTGCCGTTCTAGTAATTATATTTCTAAAGCGGAACCTCTCTCTCTCGCTCGGTCTTGGTCAGGTTGATCTGCTTGAGGATCTGCGATCGCTGTTCCATCACCAGGGTCTTCTCATAGGTGTAGGCTGAGATGTCACTGTCGTGCTGAGAGAGGAGAGGCCTGGGTTAGTGCAACATCGAGGATGGACAGATACCAAAGAGGTTAGGTAGTATGGACAACTTGTTTTTTTATAGAGGTTTAGTCAGTCTATGGGTTGGACAGCAGCACTGCATGGAAATTACATGGAAGATGCACTTTTTTTAACAACAGCTTCATGCATAAGGATAGCATGAATGCACTAATTGTAAATCGCCTCTGGATAAGAACATCTGCTAAATGACTAAAATGTAAATAAAAAAATATATTTGTACTGTATATTTAAACAGATTTGTAACTATGAGAAACAGTATTATGGATTAAACCAACTCAGTGTACCAACTATATGTTCAATGGCTTGTCTAAGCAAGCTTCACCTGTAGGTCCGTGCAGCAACCCCTTTAGGTACATACTGTATATCTGTTATTACACACTGGACTTCATCCCACCTGAAGCAGCTATAGACAGATATGGAGCCTTACCATTTCCACCACTTCAACTTCGGCATCGATACGCAGGTGATACAGGAAGGTGGTCAGGTCTTTCTTCATCTGGATGCTGTTGTCGTCCATCTGGGCCACGGTGAAGATGCGCATCCTGCACTTCCTCCACACCTGTCGGCAGGAAAGAGCATTGTAATCTGCTCATCTATAACCTGTTTTACGGTAATCTGGTTAGAACCTTCATGATTAGGTACACTATAGAAACTGCCATAGCATGCGTATCAGTGGAGGCTGGTGGGAGGAGCTATAGGATAACAGGCTCATTGTAATGAATGGAATTGGATAATTTGAACAGAGTCAAACGTGGTTTCCATATGTTTGATACCGTTGCATTTATTCCATTCCAGCCATTACAGTGAGCCTGTCCTCCTATAGCTCCTCCCACCAGTCTCCTCTGATGCATATTGATTAGTTAATGCGCTGACGAATGCTCTGCACCATAGTTTTTTATCTGTACATTGCACTTTACTATATAACGGAGTGCATGACTAGTTATACACTGAGTATAGAAAACATTAAGAACACTTGCTCTTTCCATGAAATAGACTGACCAGTGACCAGGTGAATCCAGGTGAACGCTACGATCCCTTATTGATGTCATTTGTTAAATCCACTTTAATTAGTGTAGATGAAGGGGAGGAGACAGGTTAAAGAAGGATTTTTAAGCCTTGAGACAATTGAGACATTGTGTATTTGTGCCATTCAGAGATTGAATGGGCAAGACAAAATATTTAAGTGCCTTTGAATGGGGTATGGTAGTAGGTGCCAGGTGCACCGGTTTGTGTCAAGAACTTCAACGCTGCAGGGTTTTTCACACTCAACAGTTTCCTGTGTGTATCAAGAATGGTCCACCACCCTAAAGGACATCCAGCCAACTTGACACAACTGTGGGAAGCATTGGAGTCAACATGAACCAGCATCCCTGTGGAACGCTTTCGACACCTTGTAGAGTCCATGACCCGACACATTGAGGCTGTTCTGAGGGCAAAAGGGGGTGGGGTGGTTCAACTCAATATTAGGAAGATAAAACATGCTCAAAGCAATGCGACCCATGTCTCAGGGAGGGCGTGTGGTGGGCAGCCTACCTTGTGCTGGCGCAGGAGGAAAGGCAGCAGCATCAGCATGCCTCCATCGTGGACGATCCACCACACATCAATGTGGCCCTCGGAGAAGCGCTCTCCATTGGACGGGAAGGCAGCGATGTTCTTGGGCACTAGCAGGGCCAGGTGGGCGGCCGTGGTCTCCCGAACCAGCTCTACAGGACAGGGGGGAGGGGGGAGGGGTTCATCTCATTTGAGTCTGATCATCACTCAAGAACCTTTATGGAAAATCTACTTCATCCTATATAGGTGGTATATGGATTATAGTGATCATATTGATATTGTGGACAGAAATTTAAAAAATAAGCATTATTTCTGATGATATGTCAACAACCTCCCCCAAAGATCCTGATTTTTTCAATCAAACAGACAGATCTGATTCTTCATTTTACGGTACCAAAATTACTCCGAATTTACTTAGAAAGGTAAAATGGTAATTATACAGTAATAACCTAGATCAATAACGCTCACTTTTGTTTTTCCTATCACTCTAACTTCCTGTACCCCCCATTTCAATTGACCATTCATTGTTGACCCCCTCTGTGACCCACCAATGAAATCCCTCCAGGTCTGGACGTCATCGGCCTGCTTCCAGTTGCGCGGCCAGCTGACCAGCACCGTGTTGTGCATGAGGCCGCCCAGCCCACTAGCCTGGAGCAGGTGGGAGGTGGCGTCACGCATGTTGGACGAGATGGTGACCTGGCAGAAGCCTTTCACCTTCTCTGTCTCCATCAGCTTACGCATAGACTGGAGGAGGGAGGGGGGGTGGAGAGGGAGATGGGGGTGAGAGAGAGAAAGAAGGGAGGTAGAGAGAGTGAGTGGGAGGGGAAGGGAGGAGAGAGTAAGGTTTCTGGAACCAACTAAGCCACAGACATCTCAATCAAATCAAATTGTATTAGTCACGTGCATATATTTTGCAGATGTTATCGCAGGTGTAGCGAAATGCTTATGTTTCTAGCTCCAACAGTGCAGTAATACCTAACAATACAAAAACAATACACAGAAATCCCAAAAATGTTTAGTAAGAAATATCCGAACGAGCACTGTCAGAGTATATTAGTGCCTTCAGAAAGTATTCATACCCCTTGACTTATTCCACATTTTGTTGTGTTACAGCCTGAATTCAACATGTATTAAATAAAAAAAATTCTCATCCATCTACTCACAATACCCCATAATGACAAAGTGAAAACATGTTTTTAGAAATGTTTGCCAATTTATTGAAAATGAAATACAGAAATATCTAATACATGTTAGAACCACCTTTTGCAGAGATTACAGCTGTGAGTCTTCCTGGGTAAGTCTAAGAGCTTTGGACACCTGGATTGTACAATATTTGCTCATTTTATTATTTTTTATTCTTCAAACTCTGTCAAATTGGTTGTTGATCATTGATAGACAGCCATTTTAAAGTCTTGCCATAGATTTTCAAGACAATTTATGTCAAAACTGTAACTAGACCACTCAGGAACATTCAATGTCGTCTTGGTAAGCAACTCCAGTGTATATCTTGCATTTTGTTTTAGGTTATTGTCCTGCTGAAAGGTGAATATTTGTCTCCCAGTGTCTATTGGAAAGCAGACTGAACCAGGTTTTCCTGTAGGATTTTGCCTGTGCTTAGCTCTATTCCGTTTATTTTTGTCCTAAAAAAAAACATAGTCCTTGCCGATGACAAGCATACCCATAACATGATGCCACCACCATGTTTGAAAATATGAAGAGTGGTACTCAGTGAGGTATTGTATTGTATTTGCCTCAAACATAACGCTTTCTATTCAGGACATAAAATGAATTTCTTTACCAATTTTTTTGCAGTTTTACTTTAGTGCCTTATTGCAAACAGGATGCACGTTTTGGAATATTTGTATTCTGTACATGCTTCCTTCTTTTCACTCTGTCATTTAGGTTAGTATTTTGGAGTAACTACAACGTTGTTGATCCATCCTCAGTTTTCTCCTATAAACTCTGTAACTGTTTTAAAGTCACCATTGGCCTCATGGTGAAATCCCTGAGTGGTTTCCTTACTCTCTGGCAACTGAGTAAGGAAAGACGCTTGTATCTTTGTAGTGACTGGGTGTATTGATATACCATCCAAAGTGTAATGAATAACTTCACCATGCTCAAAGGGATATTCAATGTCTGCTTTTTTTCTTTTTACCCATCTACCAATAGGTGCCCTTCTTTGCGAGTCATTGGAAAACCTCCCTGGTCTTTATGGTTGAATCTGTGTTTGAAATTCACTGCTCGACTGAGGGACCTTACAGATAATTGTATGTGTGGGGTACAGAGATGGAGTAGTCATGAAAAAATCATGTTAAACACTATTATTGCACACAGAGTGAGTCCATGCAACTTAATATGAGAATTGTTAAGCACATTGTTACTCCTAAACTTATTTAGGCTTGCCATAACAAAGGTGTTGAATTCTTATTGACTCAATTTAAACCCTTTTAAATTAAGGCTGTAACACAACAAAATTTAAAAAAAGTAAAGGGATTTGAATACTTTCTGAAGGCACTATTTATATATATATATATATATATATATATATATATATATATATATATATATATATATATATATATATATATATATCCTGAACAAAAATATTAATGCAACATGTAAAATGTTGGTCCAATGTTTCATGAGCTGAAATATAAGATCCCAGAAATGTCCCATACACACAAAAGCTTATTTCTCTAAAATGTTGTGTACAAATTTGTTTACATCCCTGTTAGTGAGCATTTCTGCTTTGCCAATATACTCCATCCACCGGACAGGTGTGTTATATATAAAGAAGTTGATTAAACAGCATGATCATTACACATGTGCATCTTGTGCTGGGGACAATAAAAGGCCACTCTAAAATGTGCAGTTTTGTCACACAACACAATGCCACAGATGTCTCAAGTTTTTAGGGAGTGCACAATTGGCATGCTGACCGCAGGAATGTCCACTAGAGCTGTTGCCAGAGAATTGAATGTTCATGTCTCTACCATAAGCCGCGCCAACGTTGTTTTAGAGAATTTGGCCAGACGTTCACCCGGCCTCACAACCACAGACCACGTGTAACCACGCCAGCCTAGGACCTCCACATCCGTCTCAGGGAAGCTCATCTGCGTGCTCGTCATCCTCACCAGTTTGGCGTCATAACCAATTTCAGTGGGCAAATGCTCACCTTCGATGGCTACTGGCATGCTGGAGAAGTGTGCTCTTCACAGATGAATCCCAGTTTCAACTGTACCAGGCAGATGGCAGGGACTCATTAATTTATTTAAATTGACTGATTTCCTTATATGAACTGTAACTCAGTAAAATCTTTGAAATTGTTGCATGTTTAATTTATATTTTTCTTCAGTGTGTATATAAACGCTTTATATAATGGTGTGTATAGACAGTATATTAATAGAGAAGGTATATCTCACTGGTCATCCCCAAAGCCAACACCTCCTTTGGCCGCCATTCCTTCCAGTTCTCTGCTGCTAATGACTGGAACGAACTGCAAAAATCTCTGAAGCTGGAGACTCTAATCTCCCTCATTAACTTTAAGCATCAGTTGTCAGAGCAGCTTACCGATCACTGCACCTGTACACAGCCCATCTGTAATTAGCCCACCCAACTACCTCATCCCCATATTGTTATTTATTTTGCTAATTTGCCCCCAAGTATCTCTTTTTGCACATCATCTTCTGCACATCTATCACTCCAGTGTTAATACTAAATTGTAATTATTTTGCACTATGGCCTATTTATTGCCTTACCTCCATAATTTACTACATTTGCACACACTGTATATAGATTTTCTATTGTGTTATTGACTGTATGTTTTGTTTATTCCATATGTAACTCTGTGTTGTTGTTGGTTTTATCGCTCTGCTTTGCTTTATCTTGGCCAGGTCGCAGTTGTAAATGAGAACTTGTTCTCAACTGGCTTACCTGGTTAAATAAAATAAATAAATAAAGGTGTGCACAGCAGTAGTTTAATAGGATGAGCCTTGACTAGAATACAGTATATACAGTGGGGGAAAAAAGTATTTAGTCAGCCACCAATTGTGCAAGTTCTCCCACTTAAAAAGACGAGAGAGGCCTGTAATTTTCATTATAGGTAAACGTCAACTATGACAGACAAATTGAGAAGAAAAAAATCCAGAAAATCACATTGTAGGATTTTTAATGAATTTATTTGCAAATTATGGTGGAAAATAAGTATTTGGTCACCTACAAACAAGCAATATTTCTGGCTCTCACAGACCTGTAACTTCTTCTTTAAGAGGCTCCTCTGTCCTCCACTCGTTACCTGTATTAATGGCACCTGTTTGAACTTGTTATCAGTATAAAAGACACCTGTCCACAACCTCAAACAGTCACACTCCAAACTCCACTATGGCCAAGACCAAAGAGCTGTCAAAGGACACCAGAAACAAAATTGTAGACCTGCACCAGGCTGGGAAGACTGAATCTGCAATAGGTAAGCAGCTTGGTTTGAAGAAATCAACTGTGGGAGCAATTATTAGGAAATGGAAGACATACAAGGCCACTGATAATCTCCCTCGATCTGGGGCTCCACGCAAGTTCTCACCCCGTGGGGTCAAAATGATCACAAGAACGGTGAGCAAAAATCCCAGAACCACACGGGGGGACCTAGTGAATGACCTGCAGAGAGCTGGGACCAAAGTAACAAAGCCTACCATCAGTAACACACTACGCCGCCAGGGACTCAAATCCTGCAGTGCCAGGCGTGTCCCCCTGCTTAAGCCAGTACATGTCCAGGCCCGTCTGAAGTTTGCTAGAGTGCATTTGGATGATCCAGAAGAGGATTGGGAGAATGTCATATGGTCAGATGAAACCAAAATATAACTTTTTGGTAAAAACTCACTCGTCGTGTTTGGAGGACAAAGAATGCTGAGTTGCATCCAAAGAACACCATACCTACTGTGAAGCATGGGGGTGGAAACATCATGCTTTGGGGCTGTTTTTCTGCAAAGGGACCAGGACGACTGATCCGTGTAAAGGAAAGAATGAATGGGGCCATGTATTGTGAGATTTTGAGTGAAAACCTCCTTCCATCAGCAAGGGCATTGAAGATGAAACGTGGCTGGGTCTTTCAGCATGACAATGATCCCAAACACACTGCCCGGGCAACGAAGGAGTGGCTTCGTAAGAAGCATTTCAAGGTCCTGGAGTGGCCTAGCCAGTCTCCAGATCTCAACCCCATAGAAAATCTTTGGAGGGAGTTGAAAGTCCGTGTTGCCCAGCGACAGCCCCAAAACATCACTGCTCTAGAGGAGATCTGCATGGAGGAATGGGCCAAAATACCAGCAACAGTGTGTGAAAACCTTGTGAAGACTTACAGAAAACGTTTGACCTGTGTCATTGCCAACAAAGGGTATATAACAAAGTATTGAGAAACTTTTGTTATTGACCAAATACTTATTTTCCACCATAATTTGCAAATAAATTCATTAAAAATCCTACAATGTGATTTTCTGGATAATATTTTCTCATTTTGTCTGTCATAGTTGACGTGTACTTATGATGAAAATTACAGGCCTCTCTCATCTTTTTAAGTGGGAGAACGTGCACAATTGGTGGCTGACTAAATACTTTTTTCCCCCACTGTACATATGAAGTAGGTAAAACAGTATGTCAATGTTATCAATAAGGGTTTAAAGGGTCAACGACTTGCCCATGAGGTGAAGGGTGAGATAAAGGTGAAATAGACAGTGGTAACACTGACTGTAAGTACGGCTTCATTCTAAGTGCTACGCTAGTGTGAATCTTAGAACAGCGCCACAGGATCAAGTCTGAATTAGTCCAGATCGGAGAGTAGTGCTGTTTGTGTGATATGCAGTGGGATGCCATGGGATCTGCCTGGTATCTAACCTGCTCTGCCCGCTGGGCCTGGGGGTGGTTCTCCAGATAGGTGCCCACCAAGGCGGTGCCCACGATGGTCAGCCCTTTGCCTGCTTTCAGCTGGTTAGTCAGCGAGAGCAGACGAGGCTGCTCCACGTTCTGCTCCACGTCTGTACTGACCAACACCAGCAGCTGAGGCCTGGAGGGAGAGAGAAGGAAAGGAAAGGTAGGAGGGAGGGAAGGAGGGAATAGGAGAAAAGGTTTCAACGTGTTGCTTTGGCAATATACAAATATATATATATATATACAGCTGGGTCAGAAGTTTACAAACACTCAATTAGTATTTGGTAGCATTGCCTTTAAATTGTTTAACTTGGGTCAAATGTTTCGGGTAGCCTTCCACAAGCTTCCCACAATAAGTTGGGTGATTTTGGCCCATTCCTCCTGACAGAGCTGGTGTAACTGAGTCAGGTTTGTAGGCCTCCTTGCTCGCACACGCTTTTTCAGTTCTGGCCACACATCTTCTATAGGATTGAGGTCAGGGCTTTGTGATGGCCACTCCAATACCTTGACTTTGTTGTCCTTAAGCCATTTTGCCACAACTTTGGAAGTATGCTTGGGGTCATTGTCCATTTGGAAGACCCATTTGCGACCAAGCTTTAACTTCCTGACTGATGTCTTGAGATGTTGCTTCAAGATGCCATCTAATTTCTGAAGTGCACCAGTCCCTCCTGCAGCAAAGCACCCCCACAGCATGATGCTGCCACCCCCGTGCTTGTGTTGGGATGGTGTTCTTCGGCTTGCAAGCAACCCCCTTTTTCCTCCAAACATAACGATGGTCATTATGGGCAAACAGTTCTATTTTTGTTTCGTCAGACCAGAGGACATTTCTCCAAAAAGTACGATCTTTGGCCCCATGTGCAGTTGCAAACGTAGTCTGGCTTTTTTATGGCGGTTTTGGAGCAGTGGCTTCTTCCTTGCTGAGCGGCCTTTCAGGTTATGTCGATATAGGACTCGTTTTACTGTGGATATAGATACTTTTGTACCTGTTTCCTCCAGCATCTTCACAAGGTCCTTTGCTGTTGTTCTGGGATTGTTTGCACCAAAGTACGTTCATCTCTAGGCGACAGAACGCGTCTCCTTCCTGAGCGGTATGACGGCTGTGTGGTCCCATGGTGTTTATACTTGCGTACTATTGTTTGTACAGTTGAACGTGGTACCTTCAGGCGTTTGGAAATTGCTCCCAAGGATGAACCAGACTTGTGGAGGTCTACAATTTTTCTTCTGAGGTCTTGGCTGATTTCTTTAGATTTTCCCATGATGTCAAGCAAAGAGGCACTGAGTTTGAAGGTAGGCCTTGAAATACATCCACAGGTACACCTCCAATTGACTCAAATGATGTCAATTAGCCTATCAGAAGCTTCTAAAGCCATGACATAATTTTCTTGAATTTTCCAAGCTGTTTAAAAGCACAGTCAACTTAGTGTATGTAAACTTCTGACCCACTGGAATTGTGATACAGTGAATTATAAGTGAAATAATCTGTTTGTAAACAATTGTTGGAAAAATTACTTGTGTCATGCACAAAGTAGATGTCCTAACCGACTTGCCAAAACGATAATTTGTTAACAATACATTTGTGGAGTGGTTGAAAAACAAGTTTTAATGACTCCAACCTAAGTGTATGTAAACTTCCGACTTCAACTGTACTTCTGTCATGTCAGTAAAACATTTTGAATATATTTTTTTTGTGTGTAGCACAGAGATGAAAAAGAGAGAAAGGTAGAGCAAGATGACAGAGAGATAGAGAAAGCAAGGAAGAGTGCACTGAGGTTATCACAAGTACGTCTGAAAAACAATTATTGTCTGTTACATGACAGTAGATCGAAACTAGAAATTAATTAAACGGAACGCTCCACATGCACAGACATGTTGTTCATTTTCATGTTAATTATATAGCTGACACAAAAATGTGCCTGTGTAGCTTATTTGTTTGTGTGTGTGTGTGTGTGTGTGTATGTGTGTGTGTGTGTGTGTGTGTGTGTGGTGTGTGTGTGTGTGTGTGTGTGTGTGTATGTGTGTGTGTGTGTGTGTGTGTGTGTGTGCGGGTGCGTGTGTGTGTGCGTGTGTGTGTGTGTGTGTGTGTGTGCGTCTCACCTCCAGTTCTTGGTGTGCGGCGGCCCCTCCTCCAGTCTCATCAGAGCGTATCGGGCAGCGCTGAGAGAAATGCCTCGTATCCCATCACCCCACTCTTTCTCCGCCCTGCCACACAATCAAACACATGGGTTATATCATTCAATCATGTCACAACCAATGGTTTTACATAGTTATTACTACACCATTAACTATAACTGTTTTATTACATGTCTATGACAAATTAAAATGCCAACATTATAACATTGTTATTCAGTCAAATGCACAGGCTTCTAACACATCTAAATGTCAAGCTTATTTTCACTGACAGGTAGGCTATTTAAAATCGCTTAAACATCAGCCTGGGAGGTATCGTTGACTCGCAGTCGACGTTCAATGAACAAAAGTCCCTTGAAACACTTTAATGCATATTTTCCCACAGACAGAATTCTAAGTCTGTATTAGCCAAACTCTGTTTTCAAGCAGCTTTACCATCAAGCCAAGTCATTAGAACCCAAGACATTGTCTCACACACAAGCCATAACACTAAACCGTTCAAACCATACATTTCCCCTTTAACGGGCCTGACTGAATGATAGAATTTGTAATCCCCCCAAATACACACACACACACACACACACACGCACACACACACACACACACACACACGCACACACACATATGCACACAAACACGCACGCACAGACACAGCCAGCGAATTCAATCTATCCTGGGGGTCGCGCTACACTCACCCGCGGAACTCGATATACTTGTAGATACTGCCGGCATCCCCCATGGCGACGATGGGGGTAAACCCGGGAAAAGAAAGAACCAAAGAGGAAAAAGACCCAGAAATCATGCCCAGGAAGGGCCGTTTTTCCCGCAGAGGACAAGGGGAGTTAAACATTAGAGACCGAGAGAAGGAAATAGACATTAAGACAGAGAAGAGGGGATAAAAGAGAAGAGAGAGGAAAAAAAAGGATAAAAAGAACGCCAAGAAAAAAGAGACTAGAGAAAAAGCGATCGAGCGCGGAGACATAGATAGAGTATATTAGCGCATACAGACCCAACACGCCCCTTCCTAATTTCGAACCCGGGGGCATAAAATATTCCCCTAAAAATAGGAAGGGGGTATTAAGGGGGGATAGGGGGGAAGGGGGAATACCCCTGAAAAACATAGAAAAGTAGACAGAGAGAGAGAGAAGAGACAAGAGGGGAAAATAGAATAGGGAAAATATAAAAAGAGAAGAAAGGGAGTAACATTAAAACCTTATAGGGGTAGAGAAGATAATATAAAAGTATAGAAAAAGAGTATAATAATAAATTAAAATAAAAAACCCTAAAAATTAACCCTTAAAAATTAGAAATTAAATATTATAATAAATAAAAATAAAAAAAAAAATATTAATATAATATTAATAAATAATAAAAAAAATAAAAATAATATATATATTAATTTTATAATCAAAATATTTTAAATAAAAATAAAAATACAATATAAAAAAAAAATATAAAATAAAAAAAAAAAATAATATTTTTAAAAATAAAAAATTTTTTAAAATTTAACCTTATTGGGTAACTTCCCGGGGGCCCCCTTTTTTCCCTCCCTTTGGGGTTTCGGGTCCTTTTTTCATTCCCCTTTTTTTTCCCCCTTCCCCCCCATTAAAAAGAGAAGAGTAAGAAAAGAGGGTTTAAAAACATTATATAAAAGGAGAAGGGGGAGTAGACCTTAAAAGACCAAAAGAAGAAGAGAGGCATAAGAATTGGTGGGGGAGAAGGAAAGATAAGAAAAACCCCGGAAAAGGGAAAAAGAAAGGGGGACCCTTTGAGAAAAGAGATTAGAGGAAAAAGAACAAAGAGTTTAAAAGAAGAAGGGGGTCATAGAGAGAGAGAAGATGTCAGGAAGGGGGGTCTAAAGAAAAGACCCGAAAAAAAACATGAGAAAAATTTTTATAGATTTTAAGGAGAAGAGAAGATAGGAATAAATAAAAAGAGAAGGGGAAGGAGAGGGGGAAAAAACAGAGAGAAGAGAAGAGGGGAGAGAATAGGAAAAAAGAGAGAGAGAGAAATAAAAATAAAAGGGGAAAAAAAGACAAAAATTTAAAAAACAGAGAGAGAGAGAGAGAGATAAAAAAAATAGACATAAAAAAATATAGATAATAAAAATTAAAAAAAAAAAAAATTAAATTTAAAACCAAAAAACAAAAAAAAAAAAATAAAGAGTAAAAATAAAATAAAAAAAAAATAATATATATATAAAAATAAAAGAAAAAAGAAAAAAAATAATATGATTATAAAATATATAAAAAGATATAAAAACCCCCCCCTTTTGGGGTTTTTTTGCCCTTTTTTTTTATTGGCTCTCCCCTCTCTCCTCCCCCCCTCTCTGCTCTTCCCCTCTCTTTTCTCCCCTCTCCCCCTCTCCCTTTTCTCTCTTTTCTCGCTCCCCTCCTCTCTCTCTCTCCCTCTCTACTCCCCCTCTCCTTCTCTCTCTCTCTCTCCCCTCCTCCTCCTTTGTCTCCCCGCCTCTCCCCTCTCTTCTCTCTCCTCCCTCTCCTCTTTTTTCTCGCCTCCCTCCCCTCTCCTCCCTCTCTCTCTCTCTTCCCCCGCTCTCTTTCCCCTTCTCCCCAAAAATTTTTTAAAACCTCCTCTTCCCCCTTTTCCCCTCTCCCCCTCTCTCTCTCCCCTCCTCTCTTCTTCTCCCCCTCTTTTTCTCCCTCCCCTCTCTCTCCCTCTTCCTCCTTTTCTCTTCCCCTTTTCTCTCGTTTTCCCCCTTTTCTCTCTCCCCTCTTTTCCTCTTTTTTTTTTCCCCTTTTCTCCCTTCTCTTCTCTCCCCTCCTCCCTCTTTCTCTCCCTCTCTCTCTCTCTCTTCTTCTCCCCTTCTCTCCCCCTCTCCCCTCCCTTTGGGAAAAAAGGGGAAAGGGAGAAAAGAAAGGGAAGGAGTTCAAAAAACCCAAAAAAATTAAAAAAAAAAACTCTTTCCCCCCCTTCTCTTTTCCCCCTCCTCTCTCCTCCCCCCTCCCCTTTTTTCTCCTCTCTCTCCCCCCTCTATTTTCCTCTCCCCCCCTCCCGCCCCCCCCTCCCCCCTCTCTCCTTTCCCTTTCGCCCCCCCCGCTTCCTCTCTCTCGCTCCTCTCTCTCTCTCTCTTTTTCCCCCGCGCGCCCCGCCGCGCGCGTTCTCCCCCCCCTTTGCCGTGCCCCCCCGGGGTCGCCAATTTTCCCCCTCTATTTTCCCGCCCGCTCTCCCTCCCCCCCTCTTCTCTCTCACCTTTTTCTCCCCCTCTCTCTTCTCCTCCTCCTCCTCCATCTCCTTTTCCCCTCTCTTTCCCCTTTTTCTCTCTCGCCCCCCTTTTTCCCCTCTCCCCCTCCCTCTCCCTCTCCCTCCCCTTCCTCCTTCCCCCCTCTCTCTCCCCTCTCTCTCTTTTTCTCCCTCTCTCTCTCTTTTCCCCCTTCCCCTTCTCGCCCCTCTCTTCTCTCCGCCTCTCCCCCCTCCTTCCCTTTTCCCCCTCTCTCCTTGCCCCCTCCCCTTCTCCCCCTCCTTTCCCTTTTCCTCCCTTTCCTTTCTCTCTCCCCTTCTCCCTCTCTCTCTCTTTCGCCCCTCTCCCTCTCCCCCTCCCCTTGCCCCTTTTTTTCCGGTCCGTTTTGGGGGCTTTCCCCAAAAGATAATTTATTTTACATTAGAAACCCCCCCCATCCCAAAACCCACAATATCCCTTTTTAAATGTAAAATGAACCAAAAAAAAACACCCCAGACACATTCCAAGGCCCTTTTTTTCATCTCCCCCAGGATGCGTTCATTTGATGGGTTGTTGTGGGTCTCACCAGTGATAGAACTTGAAACGTGGCCTCCAGTTAGGCGTCCTCAGGAGGGTTTGCAAGGCACAGGCCAGGTTCACAAACATGTAGCACATCAGAAAGAACCTATACAACAGAAACAACGCCTTCAGACATTGCAAAAAGTGAAAGAGAGACAGCAAAGTGGCTAACAAATAAACACAATTTTGTCTTTATTTGGACACGTTGTATGTCTGTAAGGCTCCAATTACTTGCTTATAAGATGCTTATAAGCTTATAACACAAAAAAATTATAATCTAAGATGTTAATACTAGTAGATCATTGCATTGTGTTAAGAATGTGCTTAACTTCACCTTATCAAGTGCTGAGAAGTATTTGTCCATTGTCAGAAGTTTGTATTTATTTTTATTTTTATATAATCTCTATTTTTAGGGAGCTTTAATATTGCAAATAGTTTTATTGAATAAAATCAAATAGTTTATGTCATATTTACGGTGTCCATATTAGGACAATCCATATTAGTACAGGATGAGTGCATCCCAGCACTCATGAATATGGCCAAGAGTTTTACCTGGTCATGTGACCTGATCAGGAAACTCTGGGCCCTAGTTATAGGCTGTAACTACTAGGGCTCAGAGTTTTACCTGGCCAAATCATTATAGGCTGTAAATACTAGGATCAAGAGTTTTACCTGTCCAAATAGTTATATGCTGTAACTAGGACCCAGAGTTTTACCTGGCCAACTACGTAGTTACAGTGGGGAAAAAAAGTATTTAGTCAGCCACCAATTGTGCAAGTTCTCCCACTTAAAAAGATGAGAGAGGCCTGTAATTTTCATCATAGGTACACGTCAACTATGACAGACAAATTGAGGAAAGAAAATCCAGAAAATCACATTGTAGAATTTTTTATGAATTTATTTGCAAATTATGGTGGAAAATAAGTATTTGGTCACCTACAAACAAGCAAGATTTCTGGCTCTCACAGACCTGTAACTTCTTCTTTAAGAGGCTCCTCTGTCCTCCACTCGTTACCTGTATTAATGGCACCTGTTTGAACTTGTTATCAGTATAAAAGACACCTGTCCACAACCTCAAACAGTCACACTCCAAACTCCACTATGGCCAAGACCAAAGAGCTGTCAAAGGACACCAGAAACAAAATTGTAGACCTGCACCAGGCTGGGAAGACTGAATCTGCAATAGGTAAGCAGCTTGGTTTGAAGAAATCAACTGTGGGAGCAATTATTAGTAAATGGAAGACATACAAGACCACTGATAATCTCCCTCGATCTGGGGCTCCACGCAAGATCTCACCCAGTGGGGTCAAAATGATCACAAGAACGGTGAGCAAAAATCCCAGAACCACACGGGGGGACCTAGTGAATGACCTGCAGAGAGCTGGGACCAAAGTAACAAAGCCTACCATCAGTAACACACTACGCCGCCAGGGACTCAAATCCTGCAGTGCCAGACGTGTCCCCCTGCTTAAGCCAGTACATGTCCAGGCCAGTCTGAAGTTTGCTAGAGTGCATTTGGATGATCCAGAAGAGGATTGGGAGAATGTCATATGGTCAGATGAAACCAAAATAGAACTTTTCGGTAAAAACTCAACTCGTTGTGTTTGGAGGACAAAGAATGCTGAGTTGCATCCAAAGAACACCATACCTACTGTGAAGCATGGGGGTGGAAACATCATGCTTTGGGGCTGTTTTTCTGCAAAGGGACCAGGACGACTGATCCGTGTAAAGGAAAGAATGAATGGGGCCATGTATCATGAGATTTTGAGTGAAAACCTCCTTCCATCAGCAAGGGCATTGAAGATGAAACGTGGCTGGGTCTTTCAGCATGACAATGATCCCAAACACACCGCCCGGGCAACGAAGGAGTGGCTTCGTAAGAAGCATTTCAAGGTCCTGGAGTGGCCTAGCCAGTCTCCAGATCTCAACCCCATAGAAAATCTTTGGAGGGAGTTGAAAGTCCGTGTTGCCCAGCGACAGCCCCAAAACATCACTGCTCTAGAGGAGATCTGCATGGAGGAATGGGCCAAAATACCAGCAACAGTGTGTGAAAACCTTGTGAAGACTTACAGAAAACGTTTGACCTGTGTCATTGCCAACAAAGGGTATATAACAAAGTATTGAGAAACTTTTGTTATTGACCAAATACTTATTTTCCACCATAATTTGAAAATAAATTCATAAAAAATCCTACAATGTGATTTTCTGGAAAAAAAATTCTCATTTTGTCTGTCATAGTTGACGTGTACCTATGATGAAAATTACAGGCCTCTCTCATCTTTTTAAGTGGGAGAACTTGCACAATTGGTGGCTGACTAAATACTTTTTTTCCCCACTGTATAGTATTTGACTAAAAACACGTTTTTCCTGGCCAGGTGGGGAACAACTCCTGATCTGGCTCATAGACACTCACATGGAGAGGATGGGGGCCACTGCGTCCAGGGAGGCAATGAGGATCCCGATCTCACAGATACTGGCCGTCAGTAGCAAGGCCCAGGTGGGCTCCCCGTTGGCCTTCCCATGGCCAAACACCTGGCAGGACACATCACACACCGAGATGGACTAGAGTTATAACTTACAGTAGTTATTCCATTATTTCAAGGCAGGTTGTATGTAGATACTACTGAGGTGTTTTGGTGAACCACACATGAGACCTGATGCTTGCCTGAGACCTGATCATTAACATTAGTGTGCACAGACACCAAAAGTGATAGTGATCAATGTCACCTGAGACTGATATGAGACGTGTTGACAAACCAACATAATTAATGGTCCCAGATCAGTGCTAAATGCTAGAATGTTGACAGAATTATCATAACTAAAGGTCCCAGATCAGTGCTAAATTCTAGAATGTTGACAGAATTATCATAACTAATGGTCTCAGATCAGTGCTAAATTCTAGAATGTTGTGAGAATGATCATAACTAATGGTCCCAGATCAGTGCTAAATTCTAGAATTTTTACAGAATGACAGACTGACCCGTAGGATGGGCACGACACCATCCCTGGAGATGGCCTGCATGAGACGCGGGGCACCCGTTAAGCTCTGAAGCCCCGCCCCACAGGTGGAGAAGAAGGAGCCAATGACAATAACCCACGGGGACGGCCAAGCCAAGGTGCCAATGACCAGGTTGCCATTGACGCCCTCCCCAAACCTGAAGGAGATGGACATGACACCCAGCCAATCAGAAATGAAGAAAGGTAGGAGGAGAGCCAATTACCAGGATCCTATTCATTAGACACCAAATGGAAGAAAACTGACTGAAACAGGGAGGGACTACCTGGTCTACTACTGCAAGTAAATGTGCTAATTTTTGTTTTCCGTTGCGAAATGTTTAAAAACGTTTTCAGTTGAATACGACCCAGGTATGGCCTCCCTCACCAAGTACCTCAGCACTGGAAAAGCTTGAACTTTGAACTTAATATCCATAACTTACTTGTCCCTAAGGACCACTCCCTCGATACAGGCACCGAACAGGATCACAGCGGACATGTCTATAAAAGGGCACATTAAGGAAAACAGACAGACAGACACAAAACCATACCTAGCACATAGGGACATATCCTCACGTATCTGTTTCATATCTGCACACTGAGTTTACAGTGCTGCATTGAGAGTTACATAAGAACATGGTTCGACAGTGCGGTTATTGTTGGGTTATGTCTGATGTATTGTGATACATGATTGATTGCTTTGTCCTGTAATGGTCACTTGAGATTAAGAGGAAGAGCAACATGCTTTTCGTTCTTAACATAACAAGCTTGAGGCCATAGGCTACATTCAATTAAACCTCAATTGTATGTATTTATGTTGGAAAGTAAAATACAAAAGTGTTCGTATAAAATATAGTTATTTTACTATTGACAGCAGTGGAGGCTGGTGGGAGGAGCTATAGGAGGACGGGCTCATCGTAATGGCTGGAATGGAATAAATGGAACAGAGTCAAGCACATTGTTTCCATGTGTTTGATGTGTTTGGTACCATACCATTGATTCCATTCCAGCCATTACAATGAGCCCGTCCTTCTATAGCTCCTCCCACCAGCCTCCTCTGATTGACAGATAACATGTGCGCCACAGTTAAAAGTTGAGTGCACTAGCCCACTGAGTCCAGAAGTGCACCAGAATAAGGATACACACTATTGAGGTAGTGGTGATGGCCATGATAGTGCCGATGGGGATGGACTTCTGAGCATCGCGCAGATCTCCTGACCGGTTGGATCCGGCCATGATCCCTGTGACACACAAGTAGAGAGGTCACTTTGGAAAAACTCCTGCACACACAATATTACATCTGCACATTTGCTGTGTCGACGTTTCAGTCAGAGACCTTCAAGACACACAGTCAGAGAGGTCCGTTTCAGTCAGAGACCTTCAAGACACACAGTCAGAGAGGTCCATGAATGAGGACACTCAGATAATCAAATGGTAACCTTAGAAACTCACACAATAGCATGTAAATGTAGATTTCAAACAAACTCTCCTTTGTCAAATTACAACTACAACTGAATTACAAACAACAACTGAAACACAGCAACATTATCCTTCTAATAACAAACTGCTTGTTGTGTTGAAGAAATCCTGACATCAGATAAACCTTTTACTGTATCTTTCAGTCTTTCAATGAATTTATGTAAATCTCCCATATCCCCCCTAGATAAAAAACAAACACACAAAACAATACAAAGGCAAAGAGGAAGAGACACAACGCTGAATCTCAAAAGTATTTTCCCTCGATTCCTTGCGTCCTCTCTCCTCCTCGAGATTGACCCTTGGTGAATTCACCCTTTGAGGATACGAGGAATCGAGGGAAATTACTTTTGAGATTCAGCCTTGTGTCTCTTCCTCTTTGCATCATCCGCTTCCTATCAGCTGACCTGTGACGGAGGGGAAGTAGATTCCGACCAGCAGGGTGAAGAAGCTGGTGATGTCGGCCAGGACGTAGCGGTTGGAGTTGGTCAGCGTGTCATCAGGGCCCTCAACGGTCGCAATCCCCTTCTTAGCCACCAGATCTCCCTTCTCCAGGTAATTCCCAAATAGGTTCTCTGTGTGTGAGGGGAGGGGGGGGGGGGGGGGGGGGAATGGGAGAGAGGGGAGTGAGAGGGAAGGAGAGAGGGGATGAGAGAGAGGAGAAGATCAATATCATTTAAAATCGCTTGACCATAAGTTCCAGGAGCACAAGATCTTGGAGATCCAAGAGGGCTAAAAGAAATTCAGAATAAAGAAATTGTAGTATGCTTCCCGCAAGTCCACGCAGGTGTTTCCCGCAAGTGTGTGTGCAAGCATGTGTACTGTTGGTACAGTGACCTGAGTGTAGGTGGACCAGATCAATCCATGTTATTTGTGCTGTAGGTGTAACTGTTTAGAAATAAAAAGTAGATAGCCACAAAATAATAGCTATTATAATAATATAGTAACATAACACTAGCATTTTAGCAAATCATTTTATTCAAAGCGACCTTCGGTCATGCTTGCAAACATTTTACATACGGGTGACCATAGCGGAAATCAAACCCACGATCCTGGTGTTGCTATACCAACTGGGCCACAGAGGACCAGTAGCTGGTTTCTGTTCACCTTTGAGGATGCCGCTCATGACCCCGGGGATGCCCTGGATGAAGGACACGTTGTTGTTGACAAAGTACTCGTCGCAGGTGGCGTTGAGGAAGGGCGAGTCGCAGAAGACATTCCACAGCTTGGTGGTGACCGTGCCGTTGCCACTCTCCAGTGTTTTGGCGCACACGTCGAACCCTTTGGAGATCAGCGGGCGATTACCCAGCATACAGACTCTGCGCAGCAGGGGAGATGTATTAGTGTGACGGCCCGGGATTCGAAGCCCGTCCGCTCTTGAAAAATGACTTTAGACTGAGTTAGCTACCTGAGCTAAAGCCTAGGCATTGGCTTTGAGAGATAGCACAAGTCTGTGGGTATCAGTCCCCATATTGAACAGTAGAGTCTTCCACACTGAAAATGTCACACAAGATGAATATGTTCCATTTAACCCATCTGCTTATGTGCTGTGAATGTAATTTCTATTTTCAATATACTGCACTTCAAATAATCTTAAAATGGGTGAACATGTATTTTAATGTGTACATTTCTAGCATGGCATGAATGTATCTGCCATATACAGTCTCAAACCCCAAATCCTCCATATGGGCCAAAAATCGATCAATAAATGATTTACATGAAACATAATTCACATCACACCCATATTCTTCAAGTTCGGATCAGCCCCAATATTGAAGAGTAGCCTGGTCCCAGATCTGTCTGTGCTTTCTATCCAACTCTTATGGTCATTCTCATGTGACAATGACCGTAGGAGTTGGCAAGACAGCACAAACAGACTTGGAACCAGGTTAATTGAACAGTAGGGTTCCTTACGGGAAGTCAGGCGGCTCGATTGCTGTCTTGATGACTCCGGCATACACAGCCAGAATGGACAGAATGACACAGGCCAGGAAGAGCAGGGCCAACTTGTTGACGTACTTGACCCCCACAAACACCACCGTGGCCATGAAACTGAGCACAATGGTGCCGTACACACGCATGTTGTTCAGCATCGCTGCCTCCGCCTCTGCCCCCTCCAGACCCTCCATCTTAAAAATGGCTGCCTGGGGGAGGATGTAGATCTGTGAGGGAGGGTAGGGGGGGGGGGGAGAGAGAGAACTAGATCAACTGTAGAAACACAGAATCTGACGCTCCCATTAAATCCTTTCAAATAGAGGGTTGAAGTAGCCTAACGCAATTAATTGAACAACTCAAGCATGGGATTCATGTTCTAAATGAATTACCATTATATCTTATCACGGGTCAATGTAAAAATAGCTTCGCCGTTAATGAAATCATAAAACCTGTAATTGCCCCATCATTATCATTATCTGATTCAGAGGGGTTGGGTTAAATGCGGAAGACACATTTCGGTTGAATGCATTCAGTTGTGCAACTGACTAGGTATCCCCCTTTCCCACATTTAGATGCCGTTTTATAGCGTCTGCTATTAAAAAATATAGTACATTTTGTCAGATATGCCATCCTAATACAGCGGAACCCATCCAACTTGAAGGAGCTGGAGCAGTTTTGCCTTGAAGAATGGGCAAAAAATCCCAGTGGCTAGATGTGCCAAGCTTATAGAGACATACCCCAAGAGACTTGCAGCTGTAATTGCTGCAAAAGGTGGCTCTACAAAGTATTGACTTTGGGGGGGGTGAATAGTTATGCACGCTCAAGTTTTCAGTTTTTTTGTCTTATTTCTTGTTTGTTTCACAAAAAAATATATTTTGCATCTTCAAAGTGGTAGGCATGTTGTGTAAATCAAATGATACAAACCCCCCCAAAATCCATTTCAATTCCAGGTTGTAAGGCAACAAAATAGGAAAAATGCCAAGGGGGGGTGAATACTTTCACAAGCACTCTTTAATAAAGTGTTCTTCCTCTTCCATACTTTCAAGCCAATCAATTTAAGACAAATGGAACAGAATAAAAAGCCACAACAAGTGGGGGTGCAGTGGGGAACCGTCAGTGGGGAACCTTCAAGGCCTTCTAGGATTTATAAAAGAATTGTTGTATTTTTTAAATAAACATTTCGTTTTAATTCTATTTCATATTTTCAATGATATTCTGATTATATTATTATTATCAATGATATTCTGATTTAATCTCTTCAGTTTGTGTTAGAAAGGAAACGGTTAAAACTGAGAATAAAAAATGTAATCCATTCAGGATTTTTCTTTGGTGGTCTACGGGGAGATAAATCTAGCTAGCTAAACTCTTAGAAGAAATATGCTATCTAGAACCTAAAAGGGTTCTTCAGCTGTCCCCATAGGAGAACCCTTTGAAGAACCCTTTTTGGTTTCAGGTAGAACCCTTTTGGTTCCAGGTAGAACCCGTTAGGGGTCCATGTAAAACCCTTTCCACAGAGGGTTCTACATGGATCCTAAGAACCCTTTTGGAACCCTTTTTCTAAGAGTGTAGCTCACCATTGGCTAGGCCCTCAGAAGCTTGATAGAAGGCATCTGCCATTCAACTGTATTAAGCCTGTCGCATGCTTCCCAGTCGAAACAGTTTGTGCATATATTATGACAAGATTCTGTGAAGTTTTTGTTCGTTCGGCTGGTCGAGCACACACATTTTTCTCTTGAGGCAAGTCGAAGTTCGGTACCCGAAGTCTTCGCCCCTTCGTCAGTGATTGAGAACTATGGAAGGGATTCTTCAATGAAGTGTTTGTTGTCATTCAACGAGAAATACTGCACCAAACATCTTAGTTAGATGTAAAATTGCGCGACTAAGACCGCCTTTGCAAAAACATCCAAATGAATTACAGATTTCTTGATTTATCTTAGATTAATTCTGACTATTTTGAGGAAGTGTATGCTGGCTATGTTGTTGATACGGCATCTCAAGAGGGACAAACATTAATATTGCTGTTTTTTTCTCATTTTTCAAGCGAAAGTCTTTTAAGGGAGTATGCGAGGCACAGACGTTCACTTCGCCTAGCCGAGTTCTGCTAGGAGCAAACCAAACCTATGTATGCAGACACCTTAAGGGCAGAATTCTGGAGTGACAGTGGAATCAACCAATCACATTTTGACTTGTAATGGGTTCTACTGTTTTTACAAAAACGTATGGAAACTTCCACCTTCTCGAAGGCCGACAGGTCACTGTGCAATAGTGAGCAGTAGTTTTCCCACGGCCTATCTAGCTAGATTTTGTTGTAGGCAAGAGTGCGGGAGCTGCAGCAGCAGCAGTTGTTGTCAAAGAGGATGTTGTTGCTAATTTGTTAACTTCTCCCTTTTCAAGATTAACTTTCAACAAGAAGTTAAGTTTCAAATGATCATAATCATGTGAGTGGAACTGTTCTTTTTATTTATTTATTGCAGCTCGCTTGCTGTTGTTAGCTAGCTATCTCTGAAAATAATGCGTTATGAGTGTGAAACATTGTTGCATTTTAAACTTTAGATCACTGGTTACTTTGTGTGCTGAACGTGATACAGATGTTTGCCATGGAAAGTAATAGTTGTACATTTAGATTTGGAAATGCTAAACCTAATGGTTGTGTTTTGGTATTCTTATGATTGGGACCTACTGGCTTATTATGTCTGCGTGAACAGGCTGCTTACTCTTTAACATCATGCTGTGTGTGTCTGTTGTCTTTGTGTTTTACAAAAGGTGTGCTCTCCTACATGGAGGTATAATGTTCACTGTCTTTTCAGCATCACGAGCATGTCACACTCACATCCTTTGATGTGTCACCGTTGTCGCTTTTGGTGATAGTGAGGTCGTTGCGTCCTCTCGCCTCACCTCCTTGTCAAAATGTGAGGGAGGAGAAGGTCTGAGTGGAGAAACCTCAGACCTCCAATGCATATTGAGAAGAAGACAAGGAAAGAGGAGGCGAGGAATCAAGGAAATACAATTGAGATGCACCCCTAGTGTGTTGATAACACTGGACCAAAGTGATGGCAGTTTCAACGAATGGTCTCATTATTCTGCCAATGGCTTTATCTCACCCTAATGCAGAATTTACATAATTACTCAGCTCTTAATCCAAGAGAGAGGAGCGACAGGGAGAGGAAGAATGAGTGTGGGAAAAGAGAGGGAGGGGGACAGACAAAGATGAAAGATCTTTATATTTATTAGAATTCATTGTGGACAGTTGGAGAGGGAGAAAATAGCATCAAAGCAGGATAAAGAGAAAGAAAGACAGACAAATTAAGAGGGACAGGATGACATGCACAGACGGGACTGAACCAGAGAAAGAGAGCGAAAGAGAGAGAGAGAGAGATGGGCAGACAGAAAGAGAGATGAAAGGAAAGACAAACAGACAGATGCACGCACACACAAAATCAGCGGGAGAGAGACAGAGAGAGAGAGAGAGAGAGAGAGAGAGAGAGAGAGAGAGAGAGAGATAGAGAGAGAAGAGAGAGAGAGAGAGAGAGAGAGAGATAGAGAGAGAGAGAGAGAGAGAGACAGAGAGAGAGAGAGAGAGACACAGAGATAGACAGAAGACACAGAGAGAGAGACGAGAGAGGAGAGAGAGAGAGAGAGAGAGAGAGAGAGAGAGAGAGAGAGAGAGAGAGAGATGGATGGATAGAGAGAAAGATAAGTATTTCAAGCCCAGGTTCTTACCAGTAAGAGTTCGATGGACCCGAGGATGTACATGGCCCCAGCAAACGTTGTTCCCAGGTAGAAACAAATGCCCACGGCGCCCCCAAACTCAGGCCCCAGAGAACGGGAGATCATGTAGTAGGAGCCTCCAGCTACAGACAACAAATAAATACACACAATCTTTCAATGACATACTGTACTTTGTCATATTACATGTAAATGACCCAAACCCCGCTATTCTCCAATCAAAGCATGGTCTCTGACTTTGGGAAATGAAAATGAGCGTTTCTTATTGGACAGGTCCAGGCAGTCCCTCCCTATTTCAGCCCATTTTCTACATTTGGTGCCTTATGAACATGACCCAGATTTACACCACAAAATGGTGGCTACATTGTTACTCCAAGCCTGTAATTTCCTCTCACCTCTGCTCTCAGCTAATCAAGGGGCGAGTTAGCCAGGATGAGACGTGATTATTAGATACCATCTCTAATCATATAAATACAGCTGTATAAGTTTCATGTGGGGAAACAGGAGTCTGGACGTGACTAATATTATAGCGTTGCTAGGGCTAAAACACTGAATATGCATTTTGAGCCCAAAACAAGCTCTTTAGTAGAAGTAGTAGTCCCATTAGCATGCTCACCCACCTGGGACTACTCCATTGGTAGCGATGGCACTCATCGAGATTGCAGTCAGCATGGTCTAAAGAGAGGGAGATGGAGAGAGAAGAGAAAAG